CGTTTGCGTCAGGTGGGATTCGAACCCACATTTCACTTTATCCGGTAGTGCAACGGTTCAGCACGCTCTCGGATAGAGTGAAATATGGGCTCGAATCCCAACTGACGCAAACGTTTTTGCATAGCACTCTACAGAGTTTGTGAACGTTCCAAGCATGAAGTATGTAACAAGACACAGATGAGCAATGATATTCGTATATGCGAATTGTGCTTAAGATGAAAGAAATTATACCAAAGGAAGATAAAAAAATGGCCCGCTTGTGGCAAGATACTTTTTGTTTAGATTGTTGTAGGGGTGCACTCAAATGGTGCATTTCATACATGATATCTGTATAGTCAAGAGCGCATGTGGCGCAGTGGTTAGAGGTGCTCTGCGTCGCACACGAGGTCAATAGTTCGATCTCGCGCTCATGGCTCACCAAGCCGATTATTCCTCCGGGGTCGGTAAATTGGTACCAGACAGGTCTCATACTTGTCTGGGAGGATAAGCAGCACTGACTCGGCTCAGCGGGAGGCCACCGCGAGTCATTGTAAAGGCCAGATATGCATTCAATCACCTCAAACGAAGTTAAAAATTGAAGTCGAATGCATGGTGCATCCCTCAGGGATTGATCAACGCCGAGAGCTTTATCCTTTATCCTTTTTATCTGTATAGTCATAAGTGCAATGTTAACCATTATATCAGAGTACAATACAAAATCTGGTGTAGCGCACGCATATGCAATGCTTGTTGAGATTCAAAAATATGTCCTCACGAAAAACCTGAAAGAGAAATACACTGTTTTCGCGAAATACTCATTTCCAAAAAATTTGGATATTCCTGTGGTATATGTGGTCAGGGGAGAAACTCGCGTGAACCCCATGAACACGATATCCAAAGGGTTAATTTGATAAGCTCGAAAACATGTGATCCGTAAGCTCAGTAAAAAAGGTATCTCATACAATGCTTTTTGCAAGCTCAAATTACAGATATATCTCATAATTATTATTTGAGCCAACATGGCATGGGGTATGTTATGGACTCTTGTAGGACTGGCTAAAGTCGAAAGGCCTGTCCGACTGACGAGGTTGCAAGGCCGAATCTTGTGTATCGAGCTGTACAAGAGCCCATAACAGACCACGTAGCATGTTGGCTCAAATAATAATTATGAGATGCAAAAAGCGCTGAGTATGTTTAACGTTGATTTGTGCTTGATGCGATTGAAATCTAGGTCTGATGACTTTTGTAGAAGTGTAATGAATATATTTGACTGATTAAATTGCAGAAAACTGATCTTTCCAGGCTCTAAAGAAAGGCGAACTGCAGAAACGTCAGCTGTTAAATAACGATTAATGTAACACCTCATGTTTTGCTTAAAGAAGAAAATAGAAGTTGTGAGATATTTTTGATTTTGAGCATAATCTCAAGACAACACTCGAAACACGCGATCAAATTAAAGAGAATGTGTTGCTTAGTGAGTTATTGTTCCCTGATGCCAACAATTTTTTGATGACCACCATTTACGAAAGTTCAAATTAGTCATAAGCAATGACCGCTTCAGATTGTCGGTTGTTGAGAGCAAAATGTGCAACCGTTTCAATACCCTTGTTTGGATAAAGAAAGACATAATTATGGTGATCACATTCAAGACAGTTCGAAAACGCAACCAATGGAAACGGCGCGAGCGAATCATTCTTCCTCTCGTGCGCCTTATAACGTGTTTTCGCTCATGTAAAAAAATTCAGAATCATTCGATTTGTTTATCACTTAATTATCATTATCGCCTTGATCTACTTCTTTCCTTATTCGGTTTCTCCAATGAGTACTCCAAGCAATGCTCCTCCTAGAGCTCTTTTTCCACCAAACTATAAGTAAATAAATAATTTGAGAAGAAAAACGTTTATAAGGAGATTGTCATAACTTACGTAGAGGACCGTAGCATGGATAGTAGACGGAGTAGGGATAGTTGTAAGGATGAGGGTAATAGCCAGGGTATCGGTTGTAGTACGGACCACCGTAGTAGTAAAGAGATTGCGCTTGAAGGGTGTGCAATGTAGATATAGCTAGAACACAAAACCGTCTCATTCTTATCAGAAATCGGCTGTGTTCACCTCGTACTGTAGTAAGTAATGAGAGCTACGTATGCTTCACAAAGTGTAGTGTGGTAGACCTACTGAGCCCAGCGAATAAATGAGATGATGTGACTTCTTCAAATGAAACACCCACTTCAAAGTCTTAATTACAAGGCCACTTGTGGACGTGACAATAAACTTACGAAATTTTCGGATCTGATTTATGACAAAGTATCAGGCGGTTTATGAGTGTAAAATTATCCAGTGATGCAGAGTAATATACAAAATTTCGTGTCAGGCAAGATTCAAACCCTCATTTTACCCAATTCGTGGGCGCGTGCTTTAACTCGTTGCTCTAATGACGCCTTTTTGCTATCATTCTTTCGTACTACATTAAAAAAATAGTCATTGCTTTCAGTCCCGCTTCAGATATGCTTGCTCACTTGCGTCATCTACAATCTCGTCATCATCGAGTGTGCTCGAGTTAGTCGCAGGCTCTCCATTCACTTCCGTACAGTGTTAGGGTATCGCTTATTGGCAGTGAAAAGGAGCGTTCTTATCGAGGTTCTCTATTGATATTGTTCTACATAAGTAGGTAGCCACAAGATGTTTATTTCCTAATATTTGGCTTAACAAATGAACCTTTAGCGATTTCCCTAATCTTTACCGTAATTAGTTACTATATTGTTGGAAACTGATGTAAGAAGTGTAGTATTTTCTTTAGTGTATACTTGAACAATGAACTTTTCGAAAACTGCGCCGTAATATGTCAATACAAAACTCATTGTCGGCACATTGAATCTAAATGCTTAAATCGTCCGCCAAGGCTCAAGATTTGGGCTATCGAATGACTATCAAAAGACTGGAAAAGAGCCCCATAGACCTTAGTCGAGCAAATAAAATCAGCTGAGTATGAGGCACTATGTTATTCTTGTTGCTACAACGTAGTGAAAAAGTTATATATACCCAAAGTTAAAGTATATATCATTGCAATCGCCAAGATTTAAGCTATTACATGGCTACTGAAAGTTCAAAGAAAAATTTTTTTACAGTGAAAAACCTCCAAGAATTCGTGTAGCCAAATGGATATATTCCGTCTCGAAAGGGTCAAAGATACATGTTCACAGATTGCTGTAAGATACAGATGATAAGGATACATCATACATTCATTCTTAAAGAGCATATTGATAAAAAGCAAAAGTCCAGAAAAGGAAAAATTCTGTGCTAGAAAAGGTTTTTGATACGTAAGCCTCATGTCCTCGTGCTGGAACGAGAAAAAATTCTTAGAAGAAAGTTTCATTGAGGTGGAAATCATTTATTGCCACATTATTAGTGAATAGGAGAAGTAGATATCGAGACATGTTTTTAAATCGACTCGAATTGAGCTTCGTCAAGGATCGGATAAATTCTTGGGCTAACAATGATGTTTGGCGAACATATTGACCTCGTATTTTTTATCGTAACGAAGCACTTGCCGAGTTTTCTCACCATTGATTGAAATTCGGAGGGTATTGAGAAACAACTGAATCCGCTTTTGTAAAGTCAAACAGTCAACTCAAAATCTATTCCTTCACAAATGCTGCATACCTAAGGACCACATCAGTAAACACAGGTGTAGGTTTTGTTTCTTCAACTTGATCCTCAAATAGCCATGTAGAGATTCATTTGATTGTAGAGAGTTTGATAATAAAGTGAGGAAAAGATGTCCAGAATTGGCCAATTCTTCGACACCGAGGTCGCGTCTCGCTCACTTTCTACAACTGCGGAGTCGCATCCTAGAAAAAGTATTGGTGCGCGCCGCAATAGAAATAAGAGAATTCATTTGGCAAGTTTGAGTGTTGAGGGATCATTTCCGTTACTAAAGGATGGAATATTACTAAAGAAACGTTCACAAAGATTTTTATTCAAGCAAGAAGCGACGCCTATGTTTGCAAAAAAATCACGGTGTATGAACGAGGAAACCACTTTGTTGCAAAAATAACATATTTTTAGCTCAAAAACCACTTTGTTGCAGAAAGTACACATTTCGAGCTCTCACTGCATAATTTTTCCAGCAGTTTTTTGTTATTGGAAGTAGATTGCTAGAGGGGCTATTTGCTGAACAAGAACTTTCACTGGAGTACTGAAGATTAATCAAATGTTTAAATCTAAAAAGATTAAGGAAAGTACTTTTTCTGAAGAAAAAAAATACGTCTTGCAGTGGTATAGCCGAGAGTATAAAATTGCGCCGCACTCTATGAGCGAAATCGCGAGGATTTTCGTTACTTAATTCGAAAATTTCTCTTCGTTCCGTAGAGAGTTTTAGAGGTTTGGTTTGAATATGTAGAAGAGACCTTGTTCTATAGTTTTGTAGGCTTAGGCTCTTCAATTTCATTTTACTTGACCAAATGAACCTCGCTGACAAGCCTAAGCTTAAGCGGGCTCCAACCCATGCAGAAAGAGCATATGAGCGGGTAGCGGAGATCTTGGAATATGAAAGTCATATGTTTTATTTAGAATTTTACCAAAGTAGAGAAGAAAATCCTGAATTGAAGAACAAAAGTCACGCGACACATGTCAATCGGTCAGCTCTATCGATACACAGCCAAACACACATCCTAGCGATGATAATGCACGCTGTGTATGAAGCTCAAATTTATTTTGCCTACTTCAGTAATGAATACGTCTTTTCAAAAAGGAAGAACAGTGTCGGAAGTTGGCTATCAAGTAACGACAGTCTCAGGAAAGAGCTGTTTCTCTGCATCGGTAAGGATTGTCAAGTGTAGCCGATAGCTGAAGATCAAGGAGCTTACAGTACGAGGCGGTTTCGTAGTGAGATTGGTGAGCATACAACAGTATATGAACAACGTAAAATACTTGCAGTTTATTCTTTTCTTCTATTTGACCGCCACTTGTGGTGGTATGATGTTACAGTATGCTTAATAATGTGGAGTGTTGTGCAAAATCACTTACGTTAGCCGGGATTCGAACCCGAGATCTCACTCTTTCCGGGAGCATATGCTAACCGTTGCACCTCTGACGCTATATTAGCATACGCTCCCGGAAAGAGTGAGATCTGGGTTCGAATCCCGGCTGACGCAGATGTTTTTGCACAGCACTCCACGTTTTTGGGTATACTTGCAGTTTATATTTCCTATGCGATAGCAAGTAATCTATGTATTAGGTTGAGGGAAAAAATTTCTTGGCACCCGCTGAAAATTCGATGCTTATAAATAATTCAGACCAAAAACAACATTATTGTGTTCCAAAATAAAACCATTATTATTCACGATCTTCTACCAACAATCTGAGAGCCTCCAAATCTGCTCGAAATACACTTCCTTGGGCTTGAATCAACGAAACACCTCTTCAACTTGATCAAATCTCTCGATTCGGCGTGCACGCAGGAAATGTTTCATTGAGCGAAACTGAACCTGGAATCGGACGGCACAGCATCTGGACTATAGGCTAGGTGTGGCAAGACCTCGACTCCCTCCAATTCAACAAAGTTTTCTTCAGTCTTCTTCGTGGTGTAAGATTGGCACTGTCTTGCTGGAACAGCGCAGGCTTTTAATGAATCATTTTTGGCTGCTTTTCCTTCAGCGCATCGTAAACTGGAATCAGGTGCATTGATTCCCAAGATTTTCCCATGATTTACAATGTCAGATACTGTGTGAAACAAACGTAAAATCCGATTTTTTCGCTGGTTTCAAGGAACTTTTTCCTCGTCCTAGTATCTTGGTTGAATAACTAAAATTCATGACATAAGCGTAAAAATCTAATTGACATAAGGATATCTTATAATTTTATTGGAAAATCTTGAATATCTATCTATTTGTTGAGTTTATCACTGAATGTTATCGATGTACAATCCACAGTCCTTCATCGTCTCTATAGTTTGCTTTTTGTTATATTTTGAGAAAGAGTGGCTTCAAATCGATTTAAGAGAGGGATGGTGAAATTTCCGATCTAAAATTGAGTTTGAATTGCGTCCATCTTTTCCCTTAGAACATGTTCAAGATGATCTTTGTGCTTCTTAGAGTAGCTTTAAATACGCAGTATTTGTCGAACCAATATGAATGATACACTGAGATGCTGGTAGTAAAACTCGGTTCTGCAAAAGTAATCATTGGGGCAGTGACCTACTGAATAATCTAATAACATGGATTAACAAAAAATTTATCAAATCTTCACGAATTTGAGCAGCATGTCCATTCGAATTTCAATCTTTTCGATAGTACTTTTGAGAGCGCGAAGCACAGTCGCCATTATACGGACAACCAAACTATCAAGGCGTTGGTTCAGACTCACTCCGTATCAACAACGCTTCTTACCTCTACAGCGTCGAAAAATTGGTACTAGACTTTCTCGGACTCATTTTCTGTAATTCAAGTGATAAACCTTGACAAGACTACCGTGGATTCCACCATCCAACGACAAAAGTAGCGATGACGGAAAAACTCAAACAGCGGCCGATGTCATGTGTAAAAAGTTTGAAGACTGTAATAGATGATGGATGAGAGGGAACGAATCATAAAAAAGCGGTTGGATCCGCACAGTGTGGTGCATGTGATGTCGGGTCACATAATGAAAAAAAGAAAAATTAATTTATCAATGTAGGTTGTCCAGTCGGCATTTCACATAAACGCACGAGTGGTCTCAAGACGTTCAAAATGCTAAGTAGTTTTTCTTGAACAATGAAAACTTCAATAACAGTGAAGGTAAACCATCAATTACATGAATAGTGCTGCATATAGTATGCTCGAGCTTTGAAGAAGGAGAAATCGCCAAAACGTCAACTATCGAAGCACAATAACAGCTACGAGAACAACGCCAACTAAAATATACCTCACGCAATTAAACAATGGAAGTCCCTAAGAGTTAAAGATATTGACAAGATAATACCCTTAGTGAAATGTTGAGGAAAGTTTCAGTGCAGCATTTTTGATATCGGTTTTTGCCTCCAAGTAACTAACCTTCATAAAAAAAATGTCCACTCTTTTATGGTTAACATGACTGCTTCGGGGAAACCAGGATAATTCACTCAACCAATATGCTGCAGTTAAAAAAAGAAAAATAGCAATGGATCTTAGATGGAAATCACACGGTCGGCGCCATAGAGAATGCTTTCAATTGTGAGCATATAAAGTCAGGTAGGTCTCCTTTTCCAGTCAGGGAAGCAATCCATACTATCATGTATCAGCTAACCCTTTGCTCGATTTACTTAGTTACTTGAGTAGAAGACACAAGCGCCATTTCAATCAGATTACTTAGGTAGTCTTGCAGCTGAGAGCCCAATCAGTGGTTTTCTTCATTATAATGCTTAAAACTACCGCAGATTTCCATTAACACTTTGAGCAAAATGGGTTCTTATCCATTACCTACACCCTGTTTCACTCCTTTGAGGAAAACTGACTTTTCTTTTTCTACAAGCTCCACTCGATTTACTCCAGCTTCGATTTAGCTCCAGCTCCAATAATTACTCGATTTCTTGAGTCGCAAAAATTCTGAGAGTAGACTATATTCTTAAGTGACTTTTCAGTGTGCTGTAACAGTAGGAAATTAGATTGAGTTTCGCAAGTTTGGATCAACTCCGTAATCCGCACCGTGTTTTGACCACCTGAGAAAGCAATTTCTTATTCTTCTAGATTGTAGTGATGATTTAAGGGGCAAATATCAAGAATTTCAAATGTGCGCTTTATAGCGAAACGACTTTTTCAAAGCGTTATAACAATACAGATAAAATGGTATTTTACAAGCAGCGCGTTTCAGCGTACATTACGCCAGAAAGAGCACTTCACTAGACTTTTTTCAGTGATCCTTAGATAGAACAAATCTCCAAAAGTGAAATGACGCACATAATTCTTCAAAAAGAATTCTGAGTGCGCTGTAGCAGTCAAAAAATTTTGGGTTTCACGCAGCGCGACAATGACACAGAGCCACCTCGTTTTTGCCGGTGCCAAATTTGCAAAACCCAGTCTTCTTTTTATTGTTACGGCGCACTATGAAGTCTCTTTAAAGATTAAAATATATTATGGAAATTGTGAAGATTTGTGATCGCGCAGATTTTTTCATTCTTTACTTAACATTGCGAAGCTTAGTGATAGTCGGTCTTGCGAAAAATCCGTTTATTTTCTGTCAGACGGCGACAAGTGGATTTTCGACACCATTTATTGGGAAAAGAACATTTCATGAGACTATAAATAATCATACAGCAGAAACGTGGTTGCTACGTAAGCAGGATGAATGATCACTTGGCATTACTGAACGCGCAGTCGTAAGGTCGATGCTAGGAGTATCCCATATCTTGCAATTTAGAGAAAGGATTCGAAATTCCGACCTACGTCAACGATCGAAAATCAAAGACGCCGTTCCACACGCCAGAATATCGATAATAAGGTGAGCCGGACACGTTATGCGCTTTAACGACAACCGATGGAAGAGACCCGTTACCGACTGGATTCCTCGGGACATCAAGCGCACTACAGGATGACCACCGACCCGTTGGTGCGATTTCTTCACGAAAGCGTTGGAAGAAAGATATGATGCTCAGTGAATCCCTAGAGCAAGGAGGACCCACTGGGCTACTCTCGCACGCGATAGGGAAAAATGGAAAAGTTGCCGGTTTCCGCTCGAGTCACTCGACGATCAACGAAACGACAGGTGACAGGTGATAAATATTCATTCGAAAGCTTGAATCTCTGGCTGGCGCGCTACGTGGCTGTGCTTTGCAAAGACCCTTTTACAACGATGTAGCATCCAGTATAAAAATATGCTTCAAATGCGCCTCATGCTTTCATTTTTATCACGCGTATAATTCGCTGGAGGCCACGAAAACCATATGAACGTGTGCAGAAAATCTTGCAGTATCTAATTTAGTCGTCTTAGCTAAGGCATCTGAGGCTGTTTTTGAAGCGGAGAAAAATTTTTCAAAGGAAAAACAGATTGCACCTCGCATGTTAAACGCGTCAGGCTATCGATCGATTGTCCCTTTCTCAGACCGTGGATTTGCCCCTAAGCAGTCGCCGAATATGTGAAACTTGATCTCATTTCCTCTGCTACACCGCAATGAAGCGGTCTGTTCAGAGAATAGGTAGATCCTTGGAATTACTGAAACTTACGCTGTCGAATGGTTACTAATAGTCTAAAGAAAGAGTTCTGTGCAGCAAGGTGTGAAACACAAATATTTTTTTACTTCTACAGCACAACCAGAAGAGCCCTTGCAAGAAGCAGACACATTTTAGAGTTATACGACACCTATGCTATCGAAAATCTGCTAGCACTTTAGGGAAAGGCTTTTTTTCTAGCGAAATATAAGGAAAGAAGAGAACAAAAAACGCCTGGTCGTGTGAAACATAATTTTATTTGGGATTTCACAGCGTTATAAAAAAGTCCGTCTGAAAACCGGTTACGTAATGCGTTAGCCGAAAATTTAGGCTTTCGAATGATTACTGAAACTCCTATGAAAATTTTTTGTCCGGCGAATGGAGTTGAATATTCATTTGCCTTCATCAAACAGAGAAATGCCAAGAATTTTTGCAGTTTGTTAGGTTTGGCGTGCACCCACTGTTTTCGGACTTCTAAACACTCATGGAAATCTGATTTTCCTCCCGCTAGTACATGCCAACGACTTACAAGAAAAAAAAATAACTGATTTTGAGTCTGTTTTATACTAACACCAAAAGCCTTAAGAAATTAATGAGATGAATAAAGAGAAGGAAAAAGGATGTTTTTTTAAAATTTTTTGTATGATTTTAGGAGGTTTTTATGTGTGCTACAAAAAATATGCATAGAAGGTCTATTTCTCAGTTTTGCTTGATTATAACTGCATGCATAGGGGGTGAGCAAAGTTCAGTCAGTTGTGAATCTTGTCAATTTTAGCACTGACATACTACCTTTTTATCAATCCTTAAGAGAATTGAGTGGTTAACAAACTTTTTTTTTTACTAATTCTGATAATTTTGGTGAATTCTTTGTTCAAGTCTGGTCTGAAACCGGTCTTTCTTGTTTGCTGTTTCACTTGCGCTAGAGATATGGACTGTA